ATCTATAACATTAAACCATGACAGGTTAAACTTAACCTTGTTTTCTTTTTAAAAATCGAGCCCAACTTGGTATACCCATTTTTCGACCTTGGCTGAAACTTGACCCATGCATTAATCTACCTGAGTTCGGAATAACAAACTGGAATATCTAGAGTCAAACCCTGTTAGTTTTTGTACTGTAAATCGGACATAAAGGGACCAATTGTACTGAAGTTGATAACAATCTGTTACTCCGTAACGCTTCAATCAATATATAAAAAACTAATACTTAAATAAATGGATTAAAGAGTAAAAAAAAACATATTTTTTTCAATAGTGTCCTCTTTGGAGAAGAATGAGAAGACTTTGAATCAGAGTGAAGGCAACTGCAGGTTCTGGCATCAGTGCCTTGCCGGTAAGCAACCACACAGAACATTTTGTTTTGGTTTGTTGAAACACCACGTTTACTGATTTTTCTATGCCAAGCATTCAATTCGTAAGTCCAGTTCTTTATCAATGCAAATGATGTAAAACAATCGCGTCATTAGAAAGTTAATTAACTACAAATTAAAACGTTAATTAGATCAGTAACGTCAATTCATTAGTTACGTCATCATGCCCTGGCGAAAAAGAACCAGAGTTGCATGACCAGGGAGTTAAAGATAAAAAAGCCTGGGAACGAGGTTGACAAAAGTCTTGCTATTAAAGACAGACTTTGACACACAATTGAAATATGGCTGATAATTTTTTTCATATTGTAATTTGTTTGTTTTAGTTCGTTGGTTCAACCTGATGAGATCTTTCAAAGCATTCTTCAAAGACTTTGAACAACTCTCCTTTGTATTTGGCGTAGTGACTGGCGTCGTCGCCTCACCCATTTTGCGAGCTATTGTTTACGCTGTTGTCAGGTAAGACATTCATTGTTGTTCGACTCCATCCATCCTCACACCCAATCAATAATTAATCGCCAATTTATTTCCATGACATAACCTTCACTAAAGCCTAACCTGTTTATTTCCAAACCATAGGCTGTGCATTCTTTGCAACGGAAAGAAGATCCGCAAAGATCGAAGCGAGCTCCGTGCAAGCACTGAAAGCCAGCCTTCTTCTGGCTCAGTGGTCATTGAAATGGAGCCACAGCTGCAAGAATGTCCTGAGGCATCGAAGGACGATGGCGCTGACAGTCAGCCGATAGATCAGCCACAGGAAGACAAACAGTCAGAACTCCCTGGAGCAGACTGTGCTTTCGAGAGTATTTCAAAGTGACTTCATCGTAATTCCTCCATGAAGCCCCTCCCTGCAATACGCCCGCGGCCCTCCCCTCAAATAACATTCTCTCGTACCCTGACCGTCCCCAGTAGCTAGGGGTAAACGCGTCAGGAAGGGGGTTAATACATGGTATATGGTTTCTCTAAAGACTTTAATAACTTCAGAATAAGTGACGTAATGTGTAAATATATATGGACTACATCTGTATCACAACTATTTTAATTACAGTATATACATCTATGAATTTGACGTTGCGTATTTTAGATTTTTAGTCCTATTTCTTATCTACATGTAAAACCTCGTATGTGTTATTTTATTTGTATTACGTTTCTTGTCAGAAATCATCCAGACAGTGTTATAGTTCAGTTGGAAAACATGGCGCAATTAGTAAAACTGAGGAAAGTTACTTAAATATGACGTCATACTAATTAAAGCTAATTGTCGTATTGTAACTGAGCTGTCTCGGAAAGTTTGAAAAAAGAAACAATGCTGGCATTTCAGTCTTATCATATTACATAAAGCCGAAGTTGTCTGATGTTTCCTGGAAGTGTTGATATTGCCATAGCATTTCCTAAAGTGGTTTCACTGCGACCAAAAAGTGCTTCCACTTTCTACGGTCGCCCTGGCAATAACGACCAGAGCGCTGATACTCACCCTGAAAATATGATACAAAAAAAGCAAGCCGCGGAATTCTGTCACCATTGCAACACCATTGAGTGTTGTGATGCAGGGGTTGCAGTATTAAAGTCTGAAGGGAAGAATTCTGGTATTCAGTATGGAAACATTACGAGGACGGTCTCTTGGGAAGGTCGTTATTAGCCTGCGCACAGGCGTTTATTCAGGTGGGCCTGGTAATAATAAACGCCTGTTCGCAGGCTAGGTTGTTGTTGCTTGACATTGCGCTCTTGGAAGTCCATATCAATCACGACTGACCGGTTTACCAGTTCCAACACCACACGACAGGCCGAAGTTGGTTGATATCTTTTGGTAAGGTTGTTGATCTCACGCTATTGGAAAGTGAATGTCAATCATTACCGACTCTAAAGATATCACAGAATAAGCAGAGAGTTGTCACACACAGATTGTGCAGCCAATCACAATTCAGCACGTAACTTAAGCTAGCCAATAGCCTTGCCTTTTTAGTAGCAAGTTGTGAACAGGTCGTTGACAACTAGTCAACAAGCTGGGAACAAGCAGTGCGAACACATCCTGTTGTCAAGTTGTTGGAACAACATTGCAACAAGTCTGCTGCAGGTTTGTTACAACTTGTGCGTTTTTACGTGTGCACGTCTTCGTCCTCTTGCTCAAACTCTCTTATTATACCTGCAGCGGAGACGGCCATTTCTCCAACAGTATTCCATAAAATCCATTATGATCCAGTCGAATCCTAATATTCAACATTTGATTTTGGAAATCTGACTCCGATAGCGAAGTCATTTTGAAAAATTGTCGCCAAAATCGATCACGGTCTTTTCCAAATCTGAGCGTTCATCCTGGCGCCCAAACATATTCTTCGATAAAATTTAAAATAAAAGAAAATTTACAAAATTTGTCATGCACTTTTAGATCTACCCAGGAGCAGTTGTGAACAAAATGCAACTATGCGTTCTCTGGCAGGAATTCCTGCGGCCCTGTGATTACCATCTACTAACAGTCTTTTCACCTGACTGAATGTAATTTTCTAAATGTGACACATATCATCATTAGCTTACTGACACTTTGCAAGAAAATAGAAGATATTAAAATCGTCCGGCCCTATAAACGTCCGGGTCAATCAAGACACATTGCTACACATTGCTACACAAATATTGTTTCCAAAGTGGTAAATACTGTAAGGAAACTACGAAAAAGAACTTTCCAGCTCAACAGCGTAGCTTGGGTTATATTTACATTTAATGATTGTGACATTTTTTCGGAAGAAACATTACACAGGAGGTGAATTTGTCGGACAGTTTCTGCTTCTCGGAAAGCAAAATTTGTTTGCGCAAACATTCGGGAAATTTTCAGGTGTTTCCGCGACAATTTTTCCTAATTTGCCAAAGGTTCCAAGTCAGTGAGAAAATAATGACGTAATTTCTTCAAAGTGGACCGGGGCGAGAGATACTTAATTACGACGTCGTCACTAATTGATTGATTTCAATCGTTCGCTGGAACAATGAAGTCTTGCGAGGTTTTGCTCCTCGTGTTCGTTGCGTTTTTTATGATAAACGCAAGTGCTGCAGAGAAAGAATGCCCAGAATGGGCAATCGCTATTGAAACTGAAGAGGGACGTTTATGCATCTGCACCAAAGGCTATTTTGGAGACACTTGTCAGCTAAACGGTAAGAGCTGCACGAGAGATCTCGTGATTGATTAACTGCTAATTAATGAAGTGCGCATGCGGAATGGAATGTTTACGAATCATAAAACTTGCAAGCGTCGCAATTGAGTTCTTAGACATGCCGAGGTTTTAGAAGAAAAAGCACTTATTGCGTGATACACTATCAATTGTAACTTCGTCAACTGCCCTACTGCAAGTTTGGTCGATGCTGGGATAGGCCTGTTTATATTTAGGAATTCGGAATAACAAACTGGAATATCTCGAGTCAAACCCTGTTAGTTTTCGTACTGTATTAAATCGGACATAAAGGGGACAATTGTACTGAAGTTGATAACAATCTGTTACTCCGTAACGCTTCAATCAATATAAAAGATTAATACTTAAATAAATGGATTAAAGAGTAAAAAACCATATTTTTTTCAATAGTATCCTCTTTGGAGAAGAATGAGAAGACTTTGAATCAGAGTGAAGGCAACTGCAGGTTCTGGCATCAGTGCCTTGCCGGTAAGCAACTACACAGAACATTTTGTTTTGGTTTGTTGAAACATCACGTTTACTTATTTTTCTAAGCCAACCATTCAATTCGAAATTCCAGATCTTTATCAATGCAAATGATGTAAAACAATCGCGTCATTAGAAAGTCAATTAACTACAAATTAAAACGTTAATTAGATTAGTAACGTCAATTCATTAGTTACGTCATCATGTTTTTTCGCCGGAAAAAGAACCAGAGTTGCATGACCAGGGAGTTAAAGAAGATAAAAAAGCCTGGGAACGAGGTTGACAAAAGTCTTGCTATCAAAGATAGACTTGACACACAATCGAAATATGGATGATAATTTTCATGTTGTAATTTGTTTGTTTTAGTTCGTTGGTTCAACCTGATGAGATCTTTCAAAGCATTCTTCAAAGATTTTGAACAACTCTCCTTCGTAATTGGCGTAGTGACTGGCGTCGTCGCCTCACCCATTTTGCGAGCTATTGTTTACGCTGTTGTCAGGTGAGACACTCATTAACGTTCGACTCCATCCAACCTCACACCCAATTAAAAATAAATCGCCAATTTATTTCCACTACATAACCTTCACTAAATGCTAACCTGTTTATTTCCAAACCATAGGCTGTGCATTCTTTGCAACGGAAAGAAGATCCGCAAAGATCAAAGCGAGCTCCGTGCAAGCACTGAAAGCCAGCCTTCTTCTGGCTCAGTGGTCATTGAAATGGAGCCACAGCTGCAAGAATGTCCTGAGGCATCGAAGGACGATGGCGCTGACAGTCAGCCGATAGATCAGCCACAGGAAGACAAACAGTCAGAACTCCCTGGAGCAGACTGTGCTTCCGAGAGTATTTCAAAGTGACTTCATCGTAATTCCTCCATGAAGCCCCTCCCTGCAGTACGCCCGCGGCCCTCCCCTCAAATAACACTCTCTCGTACCCTGACCGTCCCCAGTAGCTAGGGGTAAACGCGTCAGGAAGGGGGTTAATACATGGTATATGGTTTCTCTAAAGACTTTAATAACTTCAGAATAAGTGACGTAATGTGTAAATATATATGGACTACATCTGTATCACAACTATTTTAATTACAGTATATACACCTATGAATTTGACGTTGCGTATTTTAGATTTTAGTCCAATTTCTTATCTACATGTAAAACCTCGCATGTGTTATTTTATTTGTATTACGTTTCTTGTCAGAAATCATCCAGACAGTGTTATAGTTCAGTTGGAAAACATGGCGCAATTAGGAAAACTGAGGAAAGTTACTTAAATATGACGTCACACTAATTAAAGCTAATTGTCGTATTGTAACTGAGCTGTCCCGGAAAGTTTGAAAAAAACAATGCTGATATTTCAGTCTTATAATATTACATAAAGCCGAAGTTGTCTGATGTTTCCTGGAAGTGTTGATATTGCCATAGCGTTTCCTAAAGTGGTTTCACCGCAACCAAAAAGTGCTTCCACTTTCTACGGTCGCCATGGCAATAACGACCAGAGCGGTGATACTCACCATGAAGACATCACACAAAAAAAACAAGCTGGAATTCTGTCACAGTTGCAACACCATTGAGTGTTGTTGAATTCTGATATTCAGTCTGGAAACATTACGACGATGGTCTCTTGGGAAGGTTGTTGTTAGCCTGCGCACAGGCGTTATTCAGGTGGGCCTAGTAATAATAAACGCCTGTTCGCAGGCTAGGTTGTTGTTGAAATTGCTCGATAACTACCCAGCCTAAAGATGTCACAGAAGAAGCCGAGGATATAGTGGTAGCCGAACTGCCGAAGTTGGTTATGACTGTTTTAAACATATGTTTGAAGATCACAGTAGACTTTCCAAAACCCGTTTTTGTATCAAGGTGGTTAAAGGCCCGTTTCCACTGAAGAAAAATTTCCACGAACAGAACATTTTCCGAAAATGTCATTATTAAAAGTTGAAAATTAACTAAAAAAAACAACATAGCCTGCGAACAGGCATTTATTATTACTAGGCCCACCTGAGGTCCACTGACTAGGTCCACCTGAATAAACGCCTGTGCGCAGGCTAACAACAACCTTCCCAAGAGACCGTCGTCGTAATGTTTCCAGATTGAATAGCAGAATTCATTCCTTCAGACTTTAAAGGCCCATTTCCACTTAAGAAAAAGTTCCACGGACAGAAAATTTTCCCAAAATGTCATTGTTAAAAGTTGAAAATTTGCGACAGAAAATTTGTGTCGGCCAATCACATTTTACAAAATTTTCTTTCTGCGGAAAATTCCCCCGAGTGGAAATGGACCTTAAAGGTAAAATGGTGTTTATTGACTATACTTACCAAAGTGTAAGCACCACGAAATGTGACTTCTTATAAACTGTAGTTGTTGCAATTTTGTTGTTGCGGTTACAATTTTGTAGTTGCTGCTGTTGTTGTCGCTTTTCACATTCTTTTAATTGTCTAGATTATTCTACAAGGAATGACAAACGACGAATTGCCTTCGTGTTTAGAAAAAAGAAATTGCTTCGTTCTTGAAAAATCTCTTATGTGCCAATTATCACTAGAAATGTTTTTCAAAATCCTTTCTATAGCTATAGCTATAGTATGGATCTTAGTTGCAACTAGTATGGAAACCAATTTTCATACTACTTGCAATTTTCAATATATACTATGGATTTAGTGACGCAATTGCAAACTCCATGCGCGTATGTATTTCACTAATTGTTTCCAGTGTATGTTCTAGTTCTAAGAACTATTCACTATAAAAATGAGGCCAAACAGATGGATCTTTGATGATCACCAGGATAGTTATTATATTATTTATATCTCGAAGTATTTTAAATGACTGTTTTAAACTTATGTTGTAGATTACAATAAGACTTTAGTTGCTGCTGCTGTAACTTTGCTGTTACAGTTACAACTTTGAAATCATGCTGCTTTTCATATGTTTGATTGTTTAGATTCTTATACGAGGGAAGACAAGCAGTAGCCCAACTCTCCGTTCTGGAGAACTCCGTGCAATTTGACGAATTATTAGAACAGCTACGCACTGCCTGATCAAAGAATAACATTCTTCGGAAACGCAAATGGGTCAGGTAATCTGTCGAAAACGTAATAACGCGCTGTTTATAATAACTCAATAACATCTAGTGAATTTGACTCAAGCAAACGAGTAATGTAAGACTGATCGAAAAATCCAAACATTGGTTGATGACATGATTGACGGCTTTCTACCATGATCATATTGAGCTTAATTGTCGATCATTGTAAGTTTTTAAAGGATACAAAAGATGTTTCAAAACAAGTTATAATGATCATCATCTCCGCTGGTGCTTCCCTTATTCCGTCTAGATGGCGATGGTGGTAGGGTTAGTTTGGTCCTGCTTGAACTATCTGCAAACATTCTTCCTGGCATTAGACTGGGTTTATCATAGTTGAAGTTCAGACTGATATCACTCAGAGTTGAACTTGGAGATTGACCTGCGCTTGAGTTGGAATCTGAGCTTGCCACACTCATCGTTTCTGAATGAAAATAAAATGTAATATTTAACAATTATTGAATTCGATTGTATCATGATAGGAAGAATGATCAACTTTGTGTTATCAAGCGAAGCCGAAGGCTGAAGTTGGTAACACAAACTGAGGCCTTGATGATTTTTCATATCATGCTAAAACACGAATTCAATAATTGTTTGATTATTTATCTAAATGATGAAACAGCGGCCGGTTGTAGGGAGGAGACACATGTGTTGTGACCCTATATACAACCGTACGTTGGCATGAAGTCATAGCATCACTCCGTTTAAAAATATGCCAAAATTCCATTTTTGGTCAGCTATTAAGGTGATATGACAATTTCACAGTTGGTCGTTAGCCATGCAATCAGAAATAATTTTTAATAAATAGTAGAGGTTGTGGTGAACTGACAAAAGCTATCCAGCAAATATAAAAAGAGTTAAGTATATATTTCCTCCTGTACTAATACTGGACCAATGAAGGAAACATACATATGGACCTTAAAATGAACTCCAGAGAGAATACTGTAGTTCAGGACTGATATGATCAAACTATTGAGCAAGGGTGGACTATAAATTTTCAAGTAGCCAGTAGTTTTTGACTACTTTTTGAAAACAGTAGCTGTAGTTATAGCGAGCTAGACTTTGCCTAAAAGTAGTCAAGTAGTTGACTACTTTTCAAACAGCGAATCGCTATTCGCTACTTTTTAAAATTGTTAGCAACTTGATAGAATAGCATGATATTGAGACACGATTTGCTTAAAATCAATCCTCAATAGTCAATTATTTGCACTCCCGAAGAGTGTACGTAGTGCTAGTACAAAAATGTTGCTTTGTGTTTACTGTTGCTACTCGTAAGTCGATTTGTTATAGGTTATACATTACAGCCTGAGTTAGTAGATGCTACAAATACAGTAAAACTAAAAAATATAGTGTAGCGAAATAGCGAAATAGTTCGCTACATTCTTTAAGCAGTAGCTGTAGTCAGTAGCGAACTACCTTTGTTCAAAAGTACCAGTAGTTGTAGCTGACTACATATTTTTGAAGTAGCTATAGTTATATAGCGAACTACAAATATTTTGTAGTCAACCCACCCTTGCTATTGAGTCAGTTCAGTTCAGGTTGTGTTACATTAAGTTAGGTTAGGTTATCAAACTATTGAGTCAGTTGAGTTGAGTTCAGTTCAATTTACTTCTTAGTTCAGCTAATCGCACATCGTATATATAATTGAGCTACCTGCAGAGGAGGCGGCCATTTTCTCCAACTGTTTTCCGTAAAATCCATTGTGATCCAATCGCGTCACAATATTCAACATTTGATGTTGGAAATCTGTTTTTGAAAAACTGCTGAGTTTGTCCAGTAAGCCAAGTAGGTATTTCGAAAAATTGTTGTCAAAATTCTGCACGGTTCTTTCAAAGTCTGAACTGTTGATCACTTCGTCCATGTCTTTGGATAGAATCTGAAAATAAAGGAAAATTAGGACAAGAAAAAAGGACTAAAAAGCACATGAAACTGAAATTTTATTGTCTTATTTAAAAGAACAATGAAAACAATAGCGCTACTTCTTTTGCATTTTTCCGTTCTGTTGCCTCGTTTTCGAGACATTTCAGTCAGTTTGATATATGTGTCAAGGTTTCTACGTCACAAAATGCACAATGAGGGCGCTTTCCATTAACACGGCCAGACCGGTCAGAACGGTCAAATTGTTGAATGGAACACAAAACATTTGAGCTTCCGACCTATCTGATCAGAAAATTTAGATAACATCAGAATGAGGTCCACAGAGAAAAGAATTCGGATCTGACCGGCCAGGCCATTAAATGGAAAGCGCCCTGAGTTTGCTGAAAATGTTATCAAATTCGGTATGCTCATGAACGCGATCACGGACACACGAAAATCGTGCAGTGTGGTCATAAGCATGCTCCTGAGCATATTATAGGATTTTGGTAAATACATGCATGGCGTGCTCATGAGTATACAAAAATCCCGTAGCCCTCCCCCCTTTTGATAATTATTAAGTTATGTCAATGCAAAGGGGTCATTACTTCATATCCTTAGTGGAAGAAACATACATAAACCGTATTACTGTTTTACCTTCGCTGCAGCTTTCTTCTTCTGTTTATCATACAGTAAATCTTCCTTTTCAATCTTTCCTGATTTCTCAGCTGTCGGGTTCTCGCTATTGATTACAGTTTGAGTGATTCTCTGAAGAAAAATAATAATTCACTTTGGCGGCAAATTTTCAAGTAAAATCTCAAAATTTATTTCAGCACATCATGTATAATTTCTACTTCGAACTTCGTAAAGGAAAGTAGGGGGTGGAGTGTGGTGGGGTAAGGGGGGGGGGCATCCCGTACAAGGAGCTACTGAAAGATAACCTGGGGAAATGAATTCATTACCTGGGAGGGAGATACAGAGATAGGGAAGGATAAAGAGGAAGGAGAGAAGAACTTCAAGAAGAAAATGGAAGAGATGAGACACATAAGCATTAGGTAACACCTTGGAAAGTCTTCGGTTCCAGAATTAGCCTTTCTCACCAAGGCCAAATTCGCCATTTTGGGGGATACTTTTTTCAGTACCCCAAGATACTAGATCATTTAGTTGACTAAATATGTTTATATTTGAAATGTAAATCCAAGTTTACTGTGGTAAAATAGACAAGTTTAAAAATAATAAAAATGCACATCATGAAAACATTGATTTTTACAATGACTCATATGAGACATCGCCAATTTGACAGTTCAATGAATACAAAATGGCAGGCTAAAATTTATTTCACCTGCCAAAATTTTTTAGATTGGCAAGCCATATTTTTTCTTTTATACTTCCGCTTATAGTTTGCCTGGATAGTTTGCCTTGCATTTCACATGAAGACAAAAAGAACAGTCTTTTTACCTGAATACAGTTTGTAAATGTGACACATATCATCATTAGCTTACTGACAATCTGCAAAAATAGAAGATATTATAAACGGTCTTATAAACGTCTGGGCCAATAAGGACACATTGTTGTAGAAACGCTGTATCCTCGGTATATATCCAAACCAGTAAAATCAGGGGTCAGTTGTTCAAAACTGGATTAGCTTAAACCTAGGCTCAATGCGCGAAAAAATGGCCGGTCAACGGATAATGTCCGGACAGAATGCGAAGTTGTCCTGTCAAATTCTTACTTTGCCGGTCATGTTGACCGGTCACTTTGCTATTTGAAAACGGAGTTTTGCCATTTGAAAACGGAGTTTTCCTATTTGAAAAGGGAGTTTTGCTATTTGAAAACGGAGTTTTGCTATTTGAAAAGGGTGTTTTGCTATTTGAAAAGGGAGTTTTGCTATTTGAAAAGGGAGTTTTGCTATTTGAAAAGGGTGTTTTGCTATTTGAAAACGGAGTTTTGCTATTTGAAAAGGGTGTTTTGCTATTTAAGAAAGGAGTTTTGCTATTTGTAAAAGAAGTTTTGCTATTTGAAAAGGGTGTTTTGCTATTTGAAAAAGGATCATATTTTAACCAGTATTTAGGAGGTTAAAGCTAACTTTGTTTGCCCAAACATTCCAGGAATTTTTAAGTGTTTTCGCAACAATTTTTCTCAATTCGCGCAAAGCATCCCAAGTCAGTGAGAAAATGACGTTATCTCTTCAAGGTGGACCGGGGCGAGAGATACTTAATTACGACGTCGTCACTAATTAAATCAGACTTAATTGTTTCTTAGAACAATGAAGTCCCGCGAGTTTTTACTCGTTGTTCTAATCGCCTTTTTGGTGAATATTGATACATGTATCGCAGAGAAAGTTTGCCCAGAGAACGCATTGCCTGTTGCCACGCCTGAGGGTGTGTTATGCATCTGTAGCCAGGGCTACGCTGGAAAAAATTGCCAATTCCGAGGTAAGATTTCAGATGCGTGCATAAATGAAGACGCAAATAATTAACTGCTAATTAATTGATTGCGTATGCACAATGTTCACAAAATTAAATCAGAAATTTTACAACTCAGAAAATCGAGTAAGACATGAGTGCTGAAAATAACTATATTTTTTTTCAACAGCTTTGACCTTGGAAAATGACAAAATCTTGAACAACACAGTGCAAGATTGTCGCTGGTACCAGTGCCTTGCCGGTAAGCAACTAGACAAGAAATTCTGTTACGTTTTGTGGAAACACCACGTTGAATTTGTCTAAGCTGAGCATTCAATTCGTAATTTCCAATGGCTTTATCAATGCGAAAGATGTAGAACTAAATCTAAACTCGTATCTCCTTTTAAAAGTGTCCAAAAATTTGTTTGCATCATCAGAAAGTTAATTAATCGATAATTAGAATTAGGTTAATTAGATTAGTTACGTCAATTCAAATGTCGTTATGCCAATTATTAATGTTTTAATTTTTGAAATTTATTTCTTTTAGATTTCATTTCAGATCAATGGTTCAGAGTCAAGACTTTCTTCAAAACATTCTTCAAAGATTTTGAGAAACTATCCTTTGTAGCTGGTGTCGTTGTTGGCGCTATCGCCTCAGTAATTTTACGAGCTATTTTTTATGCTGTTGTTAGGTGAGATATTCTTTGTTGCATCCATCCATCCATCCTCACATGGTTACAATTTATTCATTAATCGCCAATTTGTTTCCGTTTCCCCCCATTTCCATTACACAACCTTCACTAAAGCCTACCCTGTTTATTTCAAAACCACAGGCTTTGCATCTTTGGAAAGAAGACCCGCAAAGGACGACGCGACCTCCATGTAACATTTGAAAGCATTGATGAAAGTGCTTCTTCTGGTTCAGTAGCGATCCAGATAGAGCCAGACCAACAGTCACCAGAGAAGCCGGACGACAGCGCTGACAGTCAGCCACAAGATACGAGTATCGACACAACCGAAGGAGAAATCCCAGAAACAGTCTATGCTTCTGGCAGCGTCTCAATGCTCTAACTTTGTGGATATCGGTCCGTAATTCCTCCATCAAGCCCCTCCCCCCAATTATGCCCGCGCCCCTCCCCTCAAATAACACTCGTACCCTGACCGTCCCCAATAGCTAGGGGTAAACGCGCCAGGAAGGGGGTCAATGATGGTTTTAATACAGTTTCTTTAAATACTTTAATAACTTCAGGAGTAAATAACGTAATGTGTAAATATATTTGGACTACGACTGTATCACAACTATTTTAACTACAATATATATCCAGACAAAAAACCTCGCATGTGTTATTTTATTTTATTTGTATTAAGTCTTTTAAGTCTCAAACCCAACCTCGTATCCAGACTCTTTCCACTACGCTCATCGCTGAGGAGGAGCGTAGTGGAAAGAGCCTGAGTACGAGGTTGTCCCAAACCATGCAGAACTACTTTCGAATATTGTTTACCAATACACCCTTTGGATAATTACGTATAGGCGCCAAGATCAAAAAGTATGTGTGACGTAATTATCGAAAGGGTGTATTCCAGGTTCTTTATGCAGCTTGTCATGGAATTATTTATGTTGCGTGGCATGTCATAAGGCAGACTAACGAATAACCAAACTAGAAAGCACTCAATACTGCATAGCTCACCAGCGAAATTAAGATACTCTCTCCTCCGCAGATGTTATTAATTGCTCTTTGGACAGTTCTCGGAGTTAATCGGGATAGGTGCTCGCCCGCATTATTTTTGTCCAGCATTCTATCCCGATTAACTCCGATAACTGTCCGAAGATGTCCGAAAAACAATTAATAAGGAGGAGAGATATTAAGTTATGTAACATGGTGATGCAGAAATTATACAATGGGCTAATTACGTATTCAGTTTTGCCTGGCAAAGCGAGACTCACTTCTCACCAATTTCCATCCAAATTTCACCAAAATTTAATCAATTTGTCCTTGGGCAATGTTAATTAGTCCGACAAATTGTCGTATTGATACGTTGGATAGTTTTTGAGTTATAGGGGTGACTGACAAACACACACACACACATTGAAATATTTCAAAACTGAAGGAAGAAAACTTTTACCTTGAGTAACTCAGGAGCTGTTAGCATACAGTCTTTTAAACATTTATCCAAGAAGTCATTGTGATATGTAAGAACGTCATCAACATTGTTGACCTGAGGATTACGACCAAATCTTAGTAAGGTACAGTGTCCTGGATGGTCGAGGGCAAGGTTGGTAAGTTTGCTGAATAATTAGGCCAAACATCGTCACACTAGGCCTTTGTTTTCTTTGTCTTGGCCTTTTGTTTTCTTTGTTTTCTAAACGGCACTAATGACGATTTGGCCTAATTATTCATCTAACTTACCAACCCTGGTTGAGGGGCATTGGTGACACAGTATCAGTATCTTTAAATATATATATATATATATATATATATATATGGAGTTATTTCACTCACTTGATGGGTAACGATGTATAAATGCATGAAGTTAGTGGTTAGTTTTTTGCTATTTGATGTTAACGTATTGTTCTTGGGTTCGTAGTAATTGGCCAATCGCTGTTGCGAATACCCTGCCATATAGTCTATTTAGTTAATTCGTTAAATTATTACTTTGTAATAACTGTTATGACTATTTGGTGAAGCTAATAAAATTAACTAATTTGCTCATGAAAGCGGGAAGCGAAACTAATTCAATTTCACTAACGGTTACAATCATTAAACTTACATTTTTTAAATTATTTTCCAAGAGATGCCAGTACGGTTCAATGACTTCAGACATCATGTAATACTCGTAGTTTTGGACAAACTGTAGCATTTTTGTTCTCAAGGCTGAGCACTCAACATACCTACACAATAAGAGAACTATTCAACAAACGAAAGTCAGAGAAGGGCACACTGGTCACTAGTTTCAAAGCGAGTTTAAGATTATTTGATTTGTTGTTCCAAACTCGTTTCCAGGCTCTTGTTGTAAGCCATTCAACTCACCATCTTGTGGCGCGAAATCTGTGTTGTTTCGTTGTCTTGTCATTCAACCAAATCCTAGAAAGAGATTTAGTTTAAGCGTGCAGCAATCAAGGAGATCGGGAAAGCAATTTAAGAGAAACGTATTTTCGGATTCATTGTCCTACTAAACGTTCCAGCGCTATATCGGTTGTTCTTACCATGTTATGACCGTTATAGACAACAGGAAATTTTCATCTATCCACTTCAAATCCATAGCTTACAGGGCTCGAAATAGGAAAAATAAATATCGGAGGAAGTTATTTCGCTGATCTCAGATTGACATTTCGTCAAAACTTTTTTCTTCAAGATTGGTTTAGAAACAAACTTGGAGTAGGGTTAGGTTAGTGTTAGAGTTGGTGTTTGGAATAGGGTTAGTGTTTTAATAGTTAAAAAAACCGTTGCTTTGTTACGTTTTGTCTCTCTGAGGTGGTCTGCCATTTCTATATTTGAACAGCCGAAATGGTCGCACTCCGGTATGACGTTATGGCAAACTGCAAATCGATTACACGTGTCCTCAACCACTGGACGCCATTTTGTTTTTGTAGAATTTCACCTGCCATTTTATTTTCGACTTGGCAGATCAAATTTCTGAAATATGGCCTGCCTTTGGCCATTGGCAGGCCGCTATTTTGAGCTCTGGCTTATCAGCATCTTTATTTCTACATTCTCACCTGCATAGCTGTCTCTCGACGTGTTTGGCGTAGAATAAATGTCGGAACAACAGTTGATACTTCGTTAAAGCCTACAAAAATAAAGTTAGTTCATTGACATCCTTATTGAACTCTCCAGTTTTCACAGGGAATGATGAGACAGGGTTGAGCTAATCTCCAAACTAGCCCTTCCATCTCGTGGCTGTGCTCTGTGATCAGTCATACTGTATGGTGGCTGCCAAAGGCGGCCTTCTACTTAATCAGGTTCAGCTGTATCTTTCGTGATTTAGCTCAGCTCTAGTATCCTCTCAATCCAGTGTCAGGTCAGTGGAAGAATGTGTTAACAAGACGAACGAGCGATAAGATCAGGATTTGTGTTCTGACCAGGATTTTGATGTGATTCTGTTCAAATTTGTCTTGTTTGCACTATACGACTGAATGTTTCCCATTTTATGAAATAAAATATTTACCTTTCTACTCAATATGAGAGAAACTGGCCACTTGACCACATAATCAAATGAAAATGCCTCCAAGCCTAAGGGGGGAAATAGTTAAGCAAATCTAGCGAAGATCTTCGATAAATTATTTGGCAGTATTCAATATATATTTTATACAGACCTGAAATTTGAATTTCTGTTGTGTCTTGTCCAAGCGATGTTTGAACGGCTAAAAAAGAACAAAATCAACTAAAAAATGCTGACGTTACATATTTTGTTACAGTCCCAAATGGGCCTGGCCTCCTCCGCAGGCATCTCACCCTGGGAATCGGGTGATGCAGAATTTTTTTCTCAATACCAATTCGCAGGCTAAAACCCATAGAGATGCCTGCGGAAGAGATTAAAATGGGCCAACAATAGGCAACAGTTCCAAAACACGCTGTTCATACCTCTGTCGTTGGCGACGGACAAAATGCGGAATAGTTGAGTGATGAGATCATAGGGAAGAAGGTCAACTCTAGAATTCAATACAAAGTAATAAATATCAGAATACAAAGTTGTGATGGTAAGCATTTACATAGAGAGGTGGCTGCCTTGTCCCCACCCGCTTTATGTGAATTCATGGGGGTTAGGGTTGGGGCATCGATGAGATGATTACAGGCGCGCCCATCACACATCACAAAAGTCTGTTTTCCAAAGCACTGATCTATATACGCCACTGACCTGTGCCAAAAATAAAAGCCTTCGGAGGATTGAATTATTTGGAAGAGCACACACACACACACTGAATCTACTACGTTCATTGTGTAATATATATATAATATATATTGTATAATCAGTGGCCAACACACCTCAAGTCATCCTTGAAGGGGTCAGCATTAGCGGCGGTTGTCCTGAGTGAAAGTTCTAGCAATGTTTCAAGACGACTTGGAAATATATCTGTTAAACAGAAAATGAAAGTTAAACAGAAAATGCAAGTTGAACAGGAGTAGTATATAGTACTTAAAATACTCATCAGTAATTCATAAACATTGTGGCAAATCGTGTCAGCCATAATATGTCACGTGGAGTGACTTTATCTCTGATAAAGCATGTGGCATTATATAATTGTTCATCCTAATTAGTATGCTTATATAATGGTTCATCCTAATTAGTATTCTTTTGTAGTCGTATTTTAAGCTATTCAAAACGTTGTCGTGTTTTATCAGACATAAAACGCTCGGCGTCTGATAAAACACTCCTACTCGTGTTTTAAATAGTACGCATTGATTCTTGAATGTAAGCTATGCCCTATGGGCAGATAATCCATGTAAGCAGAAGTACTTTTCTTATGTAACGTAATTGGTATTCCCAGTACCTAATCGACTCCCTATATTATAGGTTAATCTGGATTGGACTGGTTGAGTTACGGACTCTCTACAGTTTTTATGAATTCATATCTTTACCATCCATATTTTTCTTCAACTCATTCTCAGCAAGATCCATAAACTGAACAAAGAAATCTCCCTGACCCATGAGGAAATACAACTTGATAGACCTGTACAATTTACAAAATGTAGTATTCATAGACCTGGATATTGTACGTATCCGAAGCTTTCAAAAACAGTATCGCTAATTATTGGGATATCCACCCTTCACTGTAAGCCAGCATTGATCGTACAATCCTGCATTATACATTTCGTGTGTACGAATATGTCTGATATTCTTGTGTATGGATATGTCTTTATCTAAGTTGCCTTACCTAAGTCTACCCATTAAATCTTTCTCCTCCATCAGCAAGTCGAGCAATGTTTGACTCGCGTAATTGTACGCCGTCTCTATTTTATCCACGTATCTGAAAAACAAGTCAGAGTTACTCTTTTAACGCGAATTGAATGATCGAAAGCAACCACTTCACAGGGAAATTTATAGAATTGTTCCCATTCTTGTTCAAGCCAACTTACTCTCTTTCGCGAAGTGTGTAAATGATTTCCTCAGCATTGGGACATTGAACATCACGCCCTGTGAAATCACACATAGTAGATACCATAAAAACGAATGTTAAATAATTCGTCCAAAGCTTAGTTACAAACTTACAAAGTAAATCAGCCATCACTTAAATCACTCAAAGGTTTTTAAAATCTACTGGGCGCAATGGCGCTGCCAAGTTCTATGTAACTACTGCCTCCTCCGTAGGCCCTCCGTTGGAAACAGTACTAGTGCAGTGCAATTGCAATCTATATAGCCAACAAAAAAATGTTTTCTCGTTTTCCTCTCCCCCCTTTGAAAGCGACTGGGGACGAAGCAGATGTAACTACGTCTCCGACCTAAATTGTCAAGTATTCTGAAATCAACATTTGACATTGGTAAAGGTTAATTATTTACTGTAAGACCTATACATTTTTCCCAGTGCCTCCACAGTGCAGGAAATGCCGTTTCAGAGACCCAAACTTCAAATTTTCCGGGGGAGCATGGCCCTAGCCTGCTCGCAGTTGCGCAGCATGGCCTCGGACCCCCTGATTTATGGCTCACAAATGATTAAGTTTCCCCCTCTCTCAAAATAGACTCCTTGGTGCTGAGTGGGGGTGGGCGGGGAGTTTTTTTTAAGCAAAAATCAGTCACCTACCACACTGACGAATAACATTGAGATACTTTCCGGTGCTAAGAATCTTTTGTGCCACCTGAAGATACGAAATTATTTATATCACAACTCCTCAGTATAACAGTTACTATCAAAAACAAATTTCTTGATGGTTGTTTTGAATCTGGAATCGGATTAGGAAACGTACCGTTTCCAAGAAGACAGGAATTTTATGTTGGACAATCGTATAACGTTGTCGCCAATAAGTAAAGTATTGTTAAGAAAAATAAATAAACCATTTTACATTATGTACAGTAAGTATGCACAGATCTCGGCTCAATCCTTATATTAAGTCTCTGCATTCTCGGCTGTAAATCATTTGAGCAACGGGAAAGATACAGATATCAAAAACACCAAGAAGGGAGGAAGAGACTATTTCACACGACAACAATACCTACAAAACCGTGGTCAAAATGCGATCGAAAGTTTCCTACACATTGAGGACTTGATATATACAGCCACCTGAAACTCATAAAAGAAGCACTAACATTTGACATCATCGAAGTTGCAGGGCCAATATCTCGCTATTCTAGAACGGCTACGATTAAAATCGTTTACTTATTAAAAGGATATGCATCATTATATTCTTCTGTCAACTTTTCCTTTTGAAATGCTTCTTGTTCAGCAACAAAAAACTGTTAAAAAACATATTTTTATAGATTTCACACTTATTTTTTGCAATCACTTAAAACGCACACTTGCAAGCAACAATATGCAGAAGAATTCAATAGAAGAAAAGTTTCAATACATTTACCTCAAGATAAGGATCACTAACAATTCCTTTATAGATCCATTGCTCTAATATATCAAAATATGGCACACACGCCTAAAAAATAAAAACCTCCAATAACTGGTCCATTAAGGACAGGAGGAAAACGGATAATACCCGGCGAGAGCCTACGGTGTTAGGTAGAGCACACACATCCTAAACATACACAGGTCAGTGCCAGTGTAGGTAGAGACTTCACAATCTCCTAAAGACTATTCTAGGGTTTGTAAACAAAATCACAGAACACTCACCGCTTGTGTAAGATAAAGACAGAGATCTTGAGAGGTGGAGTCACTATACAATACAAAACCAAGGGGAGAGCCATTACGTTATAGCTTGGAATAACAGAACAGGACAAGCGGTAACCTTTGTAATAACATAAATAACTACCTTACCCAGTAAGGTTGGTGGTCCGTTCATGTAACAGTGTAAGCACCGCGCCTCCTTTACATTGCGCCTATACAAGGCAAAGCAGAACTTATCAGGGTTTTTTTTGGCACCTCACTCGATAAACTAATTGCAGAAGGGTTTTGTAGCTGGAAGTTTGAAGATGGAAATTTCAAGTACCCCTACACCATACTGTACATAGAGGATATTACACGGCGGCGCGAAGAGATGGCTTTTACAGTATCTTCGAGTGCATGTGAAAACAATATTTTACGAACGAGCGCAGCGAGTGAGTAAAATATTGTTTTTAACACGAGAAGATAAAAGTCATATCTTCAAGCCACCGTGTAATGTTCTGTTTATTATATAGTCTCAAGCAAGAAATTGTGAAATTTCACGCTCAAAAGCAATATTGGAAAAAGTCACGGGATCGATATCTTCACTAGTGAAGATATAGAAAATATCTCACTGTGTATTTTTCAGTATCTCACTCTCTACTATATAATAAAATAGCATCACCTTAGTATATCCAGGAACGTGCGGTTAGAGCTCGACAACTGGACTCAGTTGGTTAGAGCGCTGCACTGGAATTGCAGGGCCACAGTTTTCGCAAGTGCTCCTGGTTAGATCTAATACATGTATCAAATTTACACTCGAAAATTCCATCTAGAAAACCCTCTGTAACGTAGAACTTGTTTTTTCTTCTACACGATGGTAAAGTTTGGGGAAACTACCAAGTCCTAGATACGGGACTTGAATCCATAAACTCGAGATTACTATAGCCTAATCCCATCCTAGTTGAGTTAGCAACCCCAACTTTGTTCTTACCGTTTCGATCGCCTCTGCAACAGACGAGAGAACCTCCATACGTCTTAAGCATGGCTGAATGTGGAACCAGAGTTTTTGTAACGATAATTGACCCTGAGGAAAAGACAGAATGTAATCAGTTATTCTCGCATCCAGAGCCCGTTTTATACGTTGTCAAGCAACGGAACGGTAATCCATTACTCCAAACATTAATTCAAGTCAGTTTGTAAAGCATTCTGATCAGAAAGAAAGAAATAACAGAAATTGGAAACTACGGAATACCGCAGAGGCAGGAAAACAAATGATGATATCAGTAAGTTGCTGAAAGTGGACAAAGAGAGCGGCCACAGACATGTACAGACTGGCAACTGGTAAACGAGATTACAAGAAGACCAATAAAAATAAAAATACAGCATTGATCAATACAGACTTGCCGGAACGAAATTTGACAAAAGATATTGCATGCAAAGAATAGACATGAATGGAAATGGAGGGAACGTTCAACAAACTTTGGGAAATGCGGTAAAGAAGACACTCCAGTGTCTTGGAAGGAATTGAGAAAATCTTACCTGTTGAAATTGATGTTCCAATTGAGCAACAAAAATAAAATATTCCTTAACAAAAACAAGGATTATAATTTGGTTATTTGCTCTTAGCAATTCTATAGTTAATTCCTGCACTCATGTCGGTTTTGCGCGAAGTACAAAAATGCAGAATCCACACTTCAGCAGCAAATACCTTCATAATCGTTCTCATAGCTGCACTGACTGCGTGATTTACCAAACCAGACAAAAAACCTGATTTATCTACGTGAAAGAAGCATTACTGTACATTCAATATTACAGTTGCCTATCAGTATCGGAAAAGTTGTCGAGGTCACTGCTGAAAGAAACATGACATACCTTCAATAAAACGACATAAAAGAGAATAATGTGTGCATATTGGAAGAATCCGCTGTACAAGCTCCTGAAGAGACGTATCTGAAAAAAAAGTAGAGAGCTTAAACAAGACAATGTTTACTTCAATACAGACGTCACACGTACATACTAATTCATCTATTGAACTATCCGTTGATTATAGAATCTCAAACTCATTACTAATAATTCATGAGTAAATTAGCCAACCATATTGCTTTATTATCAAAATTAATTAAGAAGTGATTTATTCGTAAGAGATAATTAAGTAGTGATTTATTCGTACTCGGCTTCGCCTCGGACTTGATCAAATTGCGCGGACTTGAAATCTAGTCCAGTCCTCATAGTCGGATTTGAAATATTACATCGAATATTTTGGCTTGAAATCAAGAACGGGAATTACGAAATTCCGTTGTCTCAAACAAGATTCAAACTCGCATCTTCCAATGGTCTTCACAAACAATTAGGTTGTCGTCATACTTAATGGCTGAATTATGTACGCCTGGCGTCTAAGTGAAGAACGTCGACTGCTCAAGTTTTCGATCTATACAGTTAGTTCTCGTTCTCAGTCACTAGTTTGCTGTATCAGTCAGCCACATACCTAACGTTGGGTCCACATGAAACTCAGGAGAATCTAAACCTTCTATGGAACTGCTGCTTAGTCGAATATACTTTCCCTCAACACCCTGGAAACAGAAAAGTGCTTAAAGTTCATGCCGGGGATTTTAACCCAAACCTGTACTCAGACAGAGTAGCCCATATCGTATTAGAGAATGGAGGTGAGAGCGAGAACGGTTCAGATATAAAATCCTAAATAATGTAAAATTGACATCAACCGTTTAGAAAGGAAAACTTACAGTCATCATGAAGAGAAGATCTTCGATAACGGCAATTTCTTGCATTTTTAGAGGAAGAGTACTCAATGAAACAGCCTATAGTTGAATAAAAAATATTATATAAACTGCTTGCTCAACGGATATCACAACGCAAAATTCAAACATCAGTCCACGATGGCCCCTTGCACTCCATTGTTCTCCTTGCAATCCAGTCACTCATGGTTTTGATATATTTCTGATGTTATCCAAAGAGCCAATTAGCCCGTCTCACGGCGAAGGCCAAAATACGCCATTTTGGGGGTACTGTCTGCCCTCGTAAAAGATTCTAGACAATTCAAACAACGTGAAAAGTGACTTTTGAAATTTGTAACTGTTTCTGTAAATTTACCATTATACAAACAACTACAAAACTAAAGTTGTATTTCGTGGTCCCCCAAAATGGCGGGGAAATCGGCCGTGAGAAAGGCTAATTACGTAACATTCAAGGTTAAATTTGCATACTGGTGGTGGTAGGTCCAAAGATTTCACGAAATCTCCAGTGAGGTATGGACGACTTGCCAACCAGTCTGGTAAATTTGGAAGACCAGCTAGAGCTGTAGAAAAAGTTTAAGTTAGCCATTTTATAAATAAAATGAAAAAAGCGTCTGTATCAAAGCGCTGTATAGGAAAGGTAATCGAAAGATAGACAGTTCACACGCGTGAAGCTGAGCGCATTATACGTGACTGTATATATAGAAGATGCTCACCCTTTCTCGCCTGTTTTTCTCTAAGATTTTTTAACGTGGCCTCAGCTGCAGGAGAAGCTGATGGTCCGGTGATGGAAGCCAACTGTGTACGGAACTAGAAGTAAGAAAGATGTTATTCACTGTACGAATATTTTTGAATGTACAACTGGACAATTTCCTCATTCACTCTTTATCTTTTAACGTGTGGTGATTTCTATAAAGGCTGCATGCTTTAAGTGCAAAATTTAGGATTGACTATTTTATTATCGGGGAGCTTAAGCAAGTGACGTTTTCGTCAACACGGATGTCAGATTGCTGATGGGGGACTGGAGTAAAAACTGTGTTTCTGTCAGTTTGTGGTAATCTTCAATACATATCACAAAACACAAGATTTTTAAAGTTTTTTGCTTCCTTACACGAGCGAAAATGTTGCCAAAACAGGGTTGCAAATTACTGTCGGACATCGGACAATGTCCGACTAAATTTGGCAAATGTCCGAGCAAAAGTAATTTTGATCGCACATTGGTCCAATCACAAAAAAAATTGTCACATTATACATTTTTTTGCTGTGACAATTAAAATCCGATTGCAAATTCACTCAATTTGCATTTTGCAATAAAATTTACCAGACATTCTAGCATTTTACTTAACGTTGCGCCAGAACGGCTATACATACTTGTCTCGTGACTTATATTATATCTTGTGACGTATATATGTCCGATCAAATGAAGCGATGTTGGTTTTTGTCCGACCAAATTCAAGTTATGTCCGACCAAAATTAAAAGTGATCGGACAAATGTCCTGTCAAGTCAAATATTTATTTGCAGCACTGCAAAATGAGTTAACCAATTTTCGAGTTGGTTACTAAGAAAACTTAAAGATCGCTATGCATATAGACGTAGGTGAAAATTTAGAAATGAGGTGAAGTGCCAGATCTGAATTACCTTGGCTAGAATTATCTTGCTAAGAGGGTGCTGACTTATCTGCGCAACATATTAACACCGTTAACGACTTTTACGATGAAAGCCCCGTTTACACTACGCTCAATTTTTGGTACGGCACGGATAAAATTGGTACCCGTACCACTTTTTTGGTTCTTGGACTACCTAAATAGGTAGTCCAAGAACCAAAAAAGTGGTACGGGTACCAAAAATCGAGCGTAGAGTAAACGGGGCTCAAAATATACGTAGTCCAAGAACCAAAAAAGTGGTGCGGGTACCAATTTTATCCGTGCCGTACCAAAAATTGAGCGTAGTGTAAACGGGGCTTAATTCTCCTGAAAAAGCCTTTGTTTCACGCCAGAATCCTTTGGCTTTGTTCATGACGACTACTGACAACAATGGTAATACAGTCACTGTAATTTGAAAATGAAATATTCCTGAAGAAATGCTCCCAATCTATACTAAGTCTAAGATTGCATATTTTCCAATTTAAAGAAAAACATTTCAATTACTTCGTCCAATTCTTTGGCAGTCATTTGTCCTGAATATTGCTCAAGATTTTGCAAAGTTTCAGCCATATTGCTGGACGATGCTGGCTTGCTTGCTTGAAATCTCTTGTGACCACGTTCATTTGCATTGCGCTCCAAACATGCAACCATCTGGCAAAGAGTTACAAAAAGTAATGGTAAGTACACTCTTGTGTATTCCAACACATAGTTTGGAAATGTTGCATTGATACCTTGCTTCCGGAAGGTACGTCACCTTTGCTATACACAGTCTCGTTTTTGTGATTGAGAAACTATATAGTAATTCTTGGTAATGATCAATATATTTACACTAGTTAATTATTAAAATTGTTGCCATAATACTAACATTTGGATCTTCGGAAATTCTTGATAGCAAAAACACCAAGGGATCTAATTCTCTAATGCTAAATGAGGATTTAAAATTGGATCAAATAATGTACAGGAATTGTCATCTACAGTACTAAACACCAATTCCTTAACCCATTGAACTGCAATGCAGTACTGAGCACCCAAATGAACCAAACTTTATTATTTTACTCTGTCTAACACCAGATTATTTCACTTGCCAAGGGGAGAATCACTTTAATGAGTTAACCAACAGTCTGCCAATGTGGGGAAGCAATCACAGAACACCAGATGATTTCACATTTTCACTTGTCAAGGGAAGAGTGCTGGCACTTAATGTTTATTAAGCAAATACACAATTATTATATTACTTCTTTGATTTGATTAAATCATATTTTTGCAGAAACTCTCTGGGATATGGGCTTGTTTCTGCTATCTTTTTCTTGGCAGTATGAGCAGAGACCTAGAACAGAATTAGAATTATTATATAATAAAATTTGAGCAATGACATAAACATATGCATTAAAACATTGTGTTAACATTGTAAATGTTTTGCCATAGTTGAAAATTCACCTGTGTTGTGACGTAAGGTGTCATGTTTTTGGTCAAAACTTCTGTATATACTTCTGGTCCATCTCCACCTGTCACACTTCAAAAATGAAACAAATGATTTCTTATTAAAATCCTTCATTATATAATTAATTATGCATACATTTTTTATGGTTTCAATTGGCACTATGATTAGGGACCATCAACAAACAAATTTCGTCCAACTTTGTGGACTTGTTTTGAATTTTTTTGACTAAAGTCTGTTTTCGTCCCAATTATTTAATAAACTCATATCCCTGACTCCCGTCTTTATACTTTACAGTTTACCCCACCCAAGTAAGCCCAGTATTTGATCAACATTATATTTTTTATGGTGTTTTTTTAAGACCTTTATATTTCAATGATCATTGGAGTACGGTTAGCCAGGGGCGCTGGAAGCAATGTGAAGTGGCGGGGGCAGCCTTTTCAAAAGGGCACTTGCTTCATCATTTTTCTGGGTAGCAATATTTGTTAAAAATTTACTGTATGGATACTCGATTATTTGTGGCTATTATGCGTGTGCAAACTTAGACATTAATTTTGAACAATTTTATTTGTTGCACCATACTAAGGGCACAAAATAAAATCAGCAAACGGATGTAGATTGCCTGATTTGGCATTAATTTTACTACAACTGGTTAAAAATTAAGCAAAGATTGCTTAAATATTGCTTAAAAATAGTTATAAATTCCAATTCCTGTGAATAATGCACAAATTTCGAAGTGCAGTTCTGGTAAAAAGGGCAACCTGTTGCCCCCGTGCTGCCCCAGCACTGTTTGGGCAACAGGGGCAGTTCCCCTGTTGCCCCTGTGGCTCCGGCACCCCTGCAGTTAGCCTTAATTACCATCATTTTTGCACAATGACCAGTTGGACTCATGTCAAGGGTATGGTAAACTGTAAACATTTTACAAATTGGAAGTTAGAAAACACTTTCATGACTCATTGAACTTTCCAGAAACTGTCATTTTGGCTAAAGAGCCTCGTTTTCGTGATTAAGACATTAGGCTTTAACAATGTGACCCAATACATGGAAATGAGGCTCCATGGCCAAAATGACATACTTTCCAGAAGGATGTATTCTACATGATTAACACGAATATGCAACAACATAAAATTTTTTTCCAAATATTATAATCATGTAAACTCAAAACAAGTCTAATCTTGGCTTTTCATAGTCTCACTTAGTTTTAAAATGAGTTTCAAAATTTTAATAGTACAACATACTAGAACGCTAATATTCGTAGTTTGTACTTTCCTTTTGTTCAATACATACCCAAGAAGCTTAAGAAGTTCTGAGACGCGATAATGAACCTGGAACTCACTCATAGTGACGGAAAAACACCAATATAATTCAAAAAGATATTTTCAAAACTCGCTCGCTCATCGCTCATTTCACCGCCATATTTTTGCCGGAATTTTAATTAGCCACAGATTCTGCTTCCACTTTTGCAAATTCCCATTCTTGTAAAGTTAGTTTTTCTTTGTTTTTCTCATAGTTTTTCTTGACTTTTACATGATATTTTTTTCATGTTTTATAATATTTATAATGTACAAAGCAGCCGACAATTGGAAGAAATTTTAGTAAAACACAATTTCAATTGTTCTTTTATTTACTGTTGAATCCAATTCTCAAGAATTTCTTTTCTTTTAAATTTCTTTACTCATATAATTAAAAATTTTCCTTTAAAAAATTTCCTTCAAAGCGCGTCAGTAACGTGGGCTCATAAACAATTGCAGGGAAAATCCATATAAAAAAACATAACGGTTTAAAATAAGTTGGAAAACTTTTTTATTTATTTACATTTTTACTGTAAAAATGGCTCAAAAACATTGGAAAACTGCTGGAGTAGTTTCTCTTATAGGATTTTTATGTTATATTAATTCCTTAGAGGGCGATTTTGTCTATGATGATAGGTAAGGCTGATAGCGCATTAGCGCTTCGAGTCACGAACTCGATGGAGAAAATTGTAGCAAATAAAATTATTTATAATTTATAAATAACTATTGTCAACCAATATACTGTATATCACATTAAATGTGATATTAACGTTCAGTATGAGTTATATTTGCCATGTATAGCGTTATTCAATCAAGTGTGAAATATACTGTGTGTGTTAACTGCCTTTGTCTCGGGCTGTGTGCTTACATTGTTCATTGTTTAATACTGCAAAACTTTATATAGAAATAATAGAGTATTTTTATTTGCATTACTTAATATCGGTTTGCAATATATCTGATATTTCAATTTCTGTTCTAAAAGTTTGTTCTTTATTACATGAATTTGTGAGGCTTATATTCTTTTTGTGTAATTATTTTAGGTCGGATATTAGGCACAGCTCAGGCAATGACCACCTGTTCAGCTCATTTAGATCATGAATAATAAAATATCAACATGTTGTAGGGCATATTTGGTTATAGATACATGTCTTGCTGTTCATCAATGCCTGAACCTATCTGTAATCCTAACAAAATCCTAAGCAATAAGCAGCATGGCACAAATCCATACCTCAAACTGGCATTAAGCTCATTGAAGCCGATTGCTTTCATGCAGACAACAGGAGCAACAAGCCTCTCTGAACAATGCATGGGCAACAACACTCAAAGGAGCCAATTTATAAGATTGCGGTGTTCCTTATAAGGTGCACTGCCTCTCTTTTCCACATACTTCACAGGTGCATGCCAGAAATTCTCCCTAGTTGCATCACCTTGTACGAGCAGAAACAATTTCGTTATGAGCTCAGCAACATTGTAAACTAAGAATGCCAGGTAAAATGACCCAAGAGACACATGAATTGGAGGCTAAGACAGCCTCAGACAGACCAACTATTAAAGTATAATCTATATTAACTATTGTTGCCCCATAACGTTACAAGCTATTGTTAAATTTTTTTCAGATAAATCATGAAAGGAACTTAATTGTTTATACTGTCGGAAGCAAAATATTATTTGTGCATTTTTTAATTTAGCCGAGCAATTGTGGAAAATACAGACATTTTACCAAACACGCCTTGGTCAAATCTTTTGAAAAATGACTTCTGGGGGACGCCATTAAAACACAGTGGTAGTCATCGATCATATCGTCCTGTGTGCATCGCTTCATTCCGTCTTAACTATTATATTGCTGGTCTCAAACCATGGGGCTACCATCTGGTTAATGTTCTACTCCATTGTGTTGTCAGTCTGATGGTCGTCCTTGTAGCACATATTGTTTTTAAAGAAAATATTACAGTTTCTGTTGCAGGAGTCTTGTTTGCTGTTCATCCAATTCACACTGGTAATAATATTTAAAATCAATATTTGTATCATATTGTACCGTATGCAATTTTCAAGGCTCATTTAACACTAGTTTAAATAAAATAAACTTAATTTACCCATTAACGCACAATTAGACTCACCTCTTGAGGTTAAACTGAAAATGTTAAACTGAAAATGACGTTAATAAAGTGGGCTGCATTGCAGGTTAATTATAAATCATGCAATAAAATAATTGAACTGATATTACTTAGTAGATACATAACATATTCCTAAATGCTATTCAAAACTTGAGTCAGGAGATACTACTGTTGGTACTGTTCAATTTTGGAAGTGAAGATAGTACTGTATGTACTGTTCAATTTTGAGATGAAGGCTAGAATACACATATATTTCAAAATGTTGTGAAAAACGGCCGAATGAATAAAATGCTGCGAGGTCACCATATTCGTGAAATGGGCATACGAGAATATTCCAAAAATCAAAATTAATTGTAATGTCACGTAATTTTAAATTTGTCTCTTTTGGCTCACACACTCTGAAACTCTAAAATCAAGTAAAAGTAAACATTTCATCTCTAAGAGCCGATTTACATAAAGCAACTTTTGCCTAAAGGCCCACACAACCGGACGCGATTCGGCAACGCGACGCGAATTTTCAGTTTTCAAAACCAAATAAACGGATACAAATTTTACAAGATATGCAGACCAAATAGATAAAATTGCTTCGTGGTTTCTAATATTTGAAAAACATTGAAAAATATTAAAGTTAAATGTCATTGAAAACTGAAAAGTCGCGTTGCCAAATCGCGTCCGGTCTGTATGGGCCTTAAAACTGTCGCATACAACCTGCTTACAACTTGAGTTGTACTCTGCAAATCAAGCACACAACTCGCCTATATACGTTGACGTAGATGAGTTGTGTGCTTGATTTACACAGTACAACAGTACAAGTTGTACGAAGGTTGCATGCGACAGTTTTAGGCAAAAGTTGTGTACTATAAAACAGCGTTAATATTTCCGTCTTAAAATGCACCTCAGAGGTATTTTGCAAATTTTAAAGTCTAACGTCAGCTAGCGCGTGACATTCTTGGTGCATTACGCAAAATTGAAGAAGGCATATTTGTAAATTATAGTAACCAAAAATGCTTTTTATTATATAAAGTATAGTGCTTTATGTACTATTTAAAAAACGAGCGGGAGTGTTTTATTAGGTTTAAAGCCACGAGCGCGCAGCGCGAGTGGCTTTAGACCTGAAACACGACCCGCGAGTTTTTTAAATGACTTCAAAAACGTATGCATAATAAGTCAAATCTTTATATAAAAATCTTTATATAAAAATCTTTATATAAAAACCTTTATATAGTTTGCATAACAATGGTCTTTTGTTAAAGTGTTCTTTAGCTGGTATAAAAACGTATGCACGTGACTAATTTCTTACTCAAGATTGGATAATTGCTTCATGAATTATTAATGAGTTTTTGAAAGAGATTTCGAGCACTGATAAAAGTGATAATCTCACATGTGAGATTATTCATGATAATCTCACATGTGAAAATTATCGCTTTTCTGTAAAAAATATCGCTTTTCAAAGACTGTCCTTTATATGATAAACAGAAAAATACATGGGTGCTTGGAAATACCAGATTGGTCCATTGTGAGGTCCATATCCGTACTACGCGAAGCGTGAGTTGCAATGCGATATGTCATTGTCAGAATAAATACTTTCAGAGGCAGTTGCTGGGTTGGTTGGTCGAGCCGATGTTGGTGCGGGACTCTTTTACCTTGCTTCTTGGTTAAGTTATCATAATGGATGCCCCAACAGTGATACCACCACCACAAGATGGTCATGGATGTTCCTGAGTATGGTGTTTGCAGCTCTCAGTATGTTCACTAAGGAACAAGGATTAACTGTGATTGGCGTTTGCCTACTTTATGACGTCATTATTATATCACGAATACGGATGAAGGATTTCCCTCTGTCTATGAAAAAGGTGAAATAAAATGTTTACATAATACACGACACAACACAACACTGGTCAATTCAAGTCTGGAGAGAAGGAACTCGTTAAACTGTAAAATAAGTCATTTCACACAACTTTTCTTTATCTTTTTTCGTTTTTGAGATATTTTAAAGCCCAATAATTGTTTTTGTTTGTGGAACCACCACGTAAATTTATTACTGCAAAGCTTTCGATCCGTAAGCCCGGATCTTCATCAGTGCTAATAATATATATATACATATTATTAGCACTGATGAAGATCCGGGCTTACGGATCGAAAGCTTTGCAGTAATAAATTTACGTGGTGTTTCCACAAACAAAAACAATTATATTTTATCGCCATGCAAACATTCAAAGAACTTATTTTAAAGCCCGTCCACACTTGCAATTTTTGCTGCGATTTCTAGTGCGATTTTCTTCTTTTGATGTATGTGAACGAGTAGATAAGTTATGAATGTTCCGAGTATATGTCTCACTGATGTACCCTCATCTGAACATTCATAATTCATCCACTTGTTCGCATCCATCAGGGGCCGGTTGTATCAAGCCCGTTTAGCTTAAACGGTGGTTAAGCTCAAAATAGAAAGCAAGTCTATAGATATATTCAGCAACCAAACTAAAAGTTTTGAACCTTAATAGAACGATAATGTTTACAACTACATATTCAGTGCAGAATATTTAAGTTGACTGATTCACGAGAGAGAAAAAAGTGTTATTTAATTTTGACTTATCCACCGTTCAAGCTAAACGGGCTTGATACAACCGGCCCCAGAAGAAGAAAATCGCGGCAGATATTGCAAGTGTAAAGCTACGTTTACACGCTGCGATTTGTCGGGCCGATTTTGGTAAATAATCGATACCCCCTCTTCGACATTTAGCGATTTAAACGTTCAGTTGAAGCTGTCCGCTCTCTCGCCTGTTTATATTATAGTTTTCTGCGTGCGAAAAGTTTTCAACAATTTTACAACGGAAGAAAAATGGGAAGAAAAATCTGTGTTTTGTTACAGATTTTTCTCCCGATTTTGTGAATCGCAAGGTGCTGACGCGAGTACTCACGACAGTTTATTTACATACAGCGAGTAAAATCGGCCCGACAAATCGCAGCGTGTAAACGTACCTTAAACGGACCTCAAAGTTGTTTAATATGCAAATGAAACAAATCTATGACGTCACAAGCTGGTAAAATATTTTCAAAGGCTATGATTACGATTAGTATCGAGATACATTTCACTACACTTTACATGACGAATCTTGGAACACGAGCGGAGCCGCTGAGCGAAGGTGCGGAGGAGAGAGCGCCAACGCCTTTATGCTCACTGTTCAAAATAGATGAAATCATTTAAGTCTGTATCAATGATTCCATTGACTAATATCTGCCAAACAAAAATACGAAGTTTTTTAGTCTTGTGGACTGTCAAAGAGTTACCCAGCTTGTGACGACATCTTATTTACACATCAAATAAATTGAAATATCTTCTAACCAAAGAAAGATATAAACATTTTCTAAGACGACTTATTCTACAGTTTAAGGAGTTCTTTCAATCTAAACATATTTAAATTTTGTTGCCCATATATTCTTTAACTTTGATTTCAGGCAAAAGAAAATGGACTTATCCTAAGAATCGCTGTACTTTTCACAACAGCTAGTATCCTTCTGACGACTAGAATGATATTAATGAACAATACTCCGCCATCGTTTTCAAAATCTGATAACCCGGCGGCAAATTCTGACAGCTTTATAACAAGAACCCTAACGTTTTTATATCTTCCCGCCATGAATTTCTGGCTTTTAGTATTTCCACATACACTTTGCTTTGACTGGTCGATGACAAGTATTCCTTTGGTAGAAAGTTTAAACGACATTAGAAATCTGTTCTCGTTTGTTTTTTACGTGTCTTTTGTACTTTTTATAACGCTCTGTCTCAAAGGTGTTTTACGACAAGAGAGTAAGACTGAATTTGTAGTAAAACCAACATCAAAAAACTTTAAAAACAACATGAAAAAGTTTGGTGTAAGGAACAGAAGAATCTTGCGAAAAACGAATGGAAATGTTGGACATTCGTCTTTGAACAATAGTTTATCGAATAACACAGTAAAAACTGGAGGAAAAATAGACAAGAATGAAGATGTTATTCAGACAAACAGTGTAAAAAGGAACAACTGTGCACTTGATACGAACGAAAGAGCAGTTTTATCACTGGCATTCTTAGTGCTGCCTTTCATCCCAGCAACAAACTTGTTCTTTTACGTCGGCTTTGTCATTGCCGAACGTGTCTTGTATATCCCTAGTATAGGCTTTTGTTTATTATTTGCGTACGGTTTTAGCATGTTTTGGAAATCTGGTGGAAAATTTCTAAAACTTCTCCTTGCAATGATCACGTGCGTGTACCTCGTGTTGTTGTCGGCACGGACAGTTCGGAGGAACATCGACTGGCGGTCGGACGAGAATCTATATCGTTCGGGGATTGCAGTAAACCCGAGCAAAGCTTGGAGTAACCTTGGTAATATCTTAAAACAACAAGGTAAAATCACAGAGGCTGAAAAAGCGTATAAGAAATCTATTGAACACAAGTGGAGTGCAGATACTTGGTATAATTTAGGTTTATTGTACCAGGGGCAGAAACAGTTCAGCGAAAGTGTGAAATGTTATGAACAAGCGATTGATTTGAGACCAAGGTTTGTGTTACCGTATCTAAATTTGGGAGTAGTTATGGAAAACTTGAAGTACAAGGAAAATGCTTTAGATATTTTAACTCAAGCAACAAAACTAAATGGAGAAGGTAATGATTATTGATGCAGTTGAACTACTCGAATACGAACACCAAGGGGCAGAAATTCGTAATATAGAAAGTTGATCATATTTAAGAGGTGTGCATATTGGAGAGGTGCTCATATGTTAGAGAGCTGATTGTATTAGAGAGGCGTCCGTATTAGGGAGGTGTCCGTATTAGAGGGGTTCCGTATTAGAGAGGTGTCTGTATTAGAGAGGTGTCTGTATTAGAGAGGTGCCCGTATTAGAGAGGTTCCGTATTAGAGAATCTGTATTAGAGAGGTGTCTGTATTAGAGAGGTGCCCGTATTAGAGAGGTTCCGTATTGGAGAATCTGTATTAGAGAGGTGTCTGTATTAGAGAGGTGTCTGTATAAGAGAGGTGCCCGTATTAGAGAGGTTCCGTATTAGAGAATCTGCATTAGAGAGGTGTCTGTATTAGAGAGGTGTCTGTATAAGAGAGGTGCCCGTATTAGAGAGGTTCCGTATTGGAGAATCTGTATTAGAGAGGTGTCTGTATTTGAGAGGTGTCTGTATTAGAGAGGTGCCCATGTTAGAGAGGTGCCCGTATTAGAGAGGTTCCGTATTGGAGAATCTGTATTAGAGAGGTGTCTGTATTAGAGAGGTGTCTGTATAAGAGAGGTGCCCGTATTAGAGAGGTTCCGTATTAGAGAATCTGCATTAGAGAGGTGTCTGTATTAGAGAGGTGTCTGTATAAGAGAGGTGCCCGTATTAGAGAGGTTCCGTATTGGAGAATCTGTATTAGAGAGGTGTCTGTATTTGAGAGGTGTCTGTATTAGAGAGGTGCCCATGTTAGAGAGGTGCCCGTATTAGAGAGGTGCCATAAAGGACAGGTTCGACAAGAAATAGAGTAGAATAGAATAAAATAGAACAACAAAGTATAATAGAACGAAATAGAATAGCAAAGAATAGATTATAGAAGGGGAAAAAAGCAATAACATAGAACAGAACAAAACAAAACAAAACAAAACAAAACAAAACAAAACAAAACAAAACAGAAGGAAGAATACATCATTTTAAAGTATAAAGTCACAAAATGGCATCTGCTGTTTTTCAGGTCTAAAGAATCCTAAACAGCACAGGTATGGTGTAGCTGCAGCCAAATATCATCGCGGAAGAATATTGGCAGATATGAATCGAATTCATGAAGCGATCGAAGTGTATCGTGAGGCTGTAGAAACACGACCTGATGATTATCCTCCACATAGTTTGTACAACTTACTAGGTATGACACAGAGCTCTATTTGTATAGGAGAAGCATCGGGAAGTTGTCTGTTTTCGAACAATTTAGAAACACTGCTTAGAACAGTGTCTTTGCAGGATATGTCATATAACATTTTTACTCATCCGGGTGATTTGTGTTCTCAGCTTATCCGTCTGATTTCATTTACTTATGATGCCATGTGAATTAGTTATATATAATTTTCCAGACACAGAGTGGTTTAGCTAAATGATAAGGCGACCGCTTAATACGGTTCCGGCGCTGATGCTGTTATTAATTTCAGCGTAATGGATTTTTCCAGTCCGCCATGTTCTTAGCAAGTGCCCTAAAGAAAGGCTGTCACCCCCTGAAAACATATTGAAATTTTATGTTCCAGCGGGGGGGGGGGGGTGAATGCCTCTGTTTAGGGCACTTGTT